CATATTGCATTCCTGCAATCACAGATAAAGCAACCATATTTGGTCGTACCCATTTTCGAAACTCGGTGAGAAACAATGTTGGCCTCCTCTTTGCTCTCTGCACGCAGTCCATGATCAACAATTATTGCCAGTAGCCCATCTATGAAACCGCCATTTTCAGTGGTGACAGCATTGGCACCAGCAGTTTTCCATCCAGCAGTTAACACACAGAGTGCCACACTGTCAGGGCCACCAGAGACTCCCAAAGCTGATAGGAAAAGAACCATCATATCATCAAACAGTTAATAAACAATGCAATGAACCAAGACTAAGAAATTGACAATATTCTAGAAGTTCCACGCCCACCCCCCCTTTTCAATTTATCACCAGATTACTTTTAAGTTTCATTCAGACAAAAAAGGGCATGCACCAACTTGAGCAAATAGTAAAAATTTCCCAAAAAGATTCAATTTTCAGTAATGATAAGAGGAGTGAGACAAAGAGAAGCTGACCAATCCGGTGATGGGGTTTGAGTCCAGCCATGGCCATTCGCCTGGAAAATGTTTCTGTGTATTTGGAGATGTCGATTGAACATTGGGAAGGGGAAGAAGAGACGCAGGGCAATGGAAGATGAGAGTGATGGTGCACAAGTTTAAAAGCAAATGAAAAATTGAAACTTTTTGGTGGGGTTTTGGAGAATGGAGCTAAGAGCCAAGTTGTTGCAGTGAGTGTTGGCGAAGATAGGATTAGCCCTCGCGCCATACCCGCTTTCTGCCGCAACAAAAATCCCTTACAAACTCTGTTTTTTCCCCCTTAAATATGTTCTTAGTCTTTCCATTTATTTATAAATATGTTCTTAGTTTCTTACTCTATTAAATATAAAATAAATTAGTTTTTTTATTTAAGATATATTCTTAGCTATATAATTTTAAGATTTTTTTTAAGTCTATTAGCATAATTCAAAGTAGAAAATAACATAATTACTGTGCAATCATGTTTTCATCAACAAAATATATTTAAAGATGATTTTTGAACGATAAGTTTAATAATAAATGAATTTTATTTGAAAGATTTATCAATTACAACATAAAAATTAAAATTAAGTTATTTAATGTTTTAATATAATAATTGATCTCTTAAAAAATATATTAATTGATCTTAAATTTTTTGAAAATTTTTAATTAAATTTGAAATTTTTTTAATCTTAAATTATAAAATATTAAACATTTCCTGTGACTTACTAGTTATAATTATCTCCCAACTTTGTCTATAGACTCTTGTATCAGGTGTGTGGAGATCCTAAAAAATCAATTTTGTATACATTGAGGGACTGTAATAAAGCCAAGTTCTTATGAAACATTCTCTAATTCTCATTTTATGCAAATAATTCTCAAATAATTTTTGGTATTTGGTTGCAAAGTCATTCTACTGGTTTGAGAAAGATTCATTCTGAGGTCCAAGAACATTGAAATATTTTAGAATATAATTTGGCAACATTTGTTTATTATCAACCAAATTCAATGCTCGGTTAGTAACAACAAAATGATTGTAGTTTCATCTTCTTAATAAGTTGAAATCCACCTCCAAAGCATTTTGTTAGATTGAATACAAATGATAGCTCCAAAGGAAACTCAAATTTTTTTAAAGGAGTTTTCAGATATTAGTTTGAAAATTAGATAGAGAAATATGTGGACTCATGTGGTTTCATTTCAAATACAAATGTTTAATTGTTTGTAATTTTTCATGGTCTGTCTATAACTCAAAAGTGATTTTTTGAATATCACGTGTGAATCAAATTCATATGTGATCATTTCTTTTATCAAGGAGGGAGTTCCATTAACTTACTTTTATACTCTTTTAGTTTCTAAAATCAAAACCTTCTCCAATCTGTCATGAAACCTTTATAAAATCAATTCCATTAACTCATTTATCCAACAATCTTACTAAAATCATTAAGATTTTGAAATAAATTTTTTCTTGTTTATTTTTTTTTTCATTTGCTTATTTTGCTTCTCGTTATCTATCTTTCTATCTCTCTCTTTTTCTATCTCACTCTCTTTCTCTCTCCTATCTTCTCTTTTCTCTTTTTTTTTTTTCTATGACTTTCTTAACTCATCTTCTCTTTTGTCTCTCTTTTCATGTCTTCTCTATCTTATATTTTCTTTCTCTTTTTTATTCATCTCTCATTTATTTCTTTTATTACTCTTTTCTCCTATATTTTTTTATTTATTAATATTTTTTGTTATATTTTTTTATCAATCATAATTTATTAATATTTATTTTTAATTATTAAATATTTTAAA